CGCCCCGCCCCGCCCCGCTCGCTGCATGCGCCGCGGCTGCCGTGGTATATCTTGTTTCGGCGCCAGCGAAGGGAGAGGATAGGGAGGGCGGGCGTCTGGCACGAGTGACAGTTCGGCAGTGGAGTTGGCCTGGTCGAGGCCGGGGGGGCGCCTGTGCAGCGCATCCACCCCGTGACGGGCGGGGCCGGGCGGCAAGGCTGCACGTGGCGGGTGCGGCCCCTGCCACGGCCCCTGCGGCCCGCTGCGGGTGGCCTCCGGGTGTGGGGTCCGGACCCGGCGGGGGCGGGCGCCTCTCTGCAGACTCTTGTAACGTCGGGGCGGAGAGGGGGAGGGGGGGGGGAGTCTCTCGTCTCTTCGCACCGCCCTCAGGTTACTTCCGAGGAAGCTGTGGCTTTTCTGAATTATTATCTGACGACAGCCCCTTACTCACCCCCCCCCCTTTTTCGCCGCCACCCGCATCACCCCTCCAGCCTGGGCAGCAGACCGTGAGGTGGAACGGTGCCTGGTGGTGGCAGTTCGGGGGTATCCGTACATGAAGCACGAGGTGCTGCTGGAGCCCCGCCGCAGCCACTTTGAAAGTTGAGTCTTGCTGTCGTCGGTAAAATTATTTTTGTCAGATAGTGGTTGTTGTTTTCCCTTCTTTTTTTGCGTGGTGTTTGGACGAAGAGATGGCAAACATCAATTTTCTTCTCTGCCCCTTCCTCTGCCTCTGAACGTCTCCCATCCCTCTTGCCCTATGCCATTACATTGAAAGAAATTAATTAATTAATATAAAAACGTTAACAACTCTTATTCTTGTTAACTCACTGGTAATCGTGTCAATGAACGTATGTCCAAAAAAATCAACTTTTTTTAAAAAAGGTATTTTGACACGAAAACTATATATTCTGAAAAAAGACCGAAATTCAATCGACTCGATTTTTTTGGGACATACGTTCGTTGACACAATTAACAGTGAACTGTAAAGCGAACATGGTTAAGGAAATTTAGTCGCCTTTATTGTATTAATCGTTGTTGATGCGTCTTTTGGCGTGAATATTTTGGCATGGGTGGCGCGCCCGGGGAACCTACTACTCGTAAAGCAAGGTGTTCACATTGTTAGTCTGTAACAGACGCGAAAATGCAACAGGTGGTGTTGAACCAACCATGACGCTGCCCTTCCCTTGTGCCCCGCTGTCTGGTAGAAACGTCCCTGACGGGTTCGTTTAAAAATTATGGGCGTGCCCCCCCCCTCCCCCCTCGCCCAGACAACGCCGTAAAATAGGCTTGACTATACCGATGTATCAAGAAGCACGGCTGATAGAGAAAAGAGATTTAATGAGCGATCTCATCCCCGGCCGCAGGTTTCTGGTGTGGTCCACGGTGTTCGTCAGAGTGTGCCTCTCTAAAATATATATTACATTAGTGTCGCGTTGTGATCCGCCCCTTAGGGGAGCGACAAACACAGAACGTGCAATCTAAGTTGCTGCTCCATACACATAGCGCTGGCTCTGCGGCCCGGCCCGGCCCGGCCTGCCTGCTGGAGTCCTATGTACACTTTGCAGTTGATCTACACTCGGGCGGGGGCTGGGGGGAGGGGGGGCAGCGTCAGGGGTCTGTCTGCGGTTGCTGCGGGAGGGCGAGGAGGGCGCCTGAGAATAGTCTGTACTAAAGGCCTCATGAATTCGGTCACTCGGCTTGCTGCTCCGGAGCGGCGAGGGCGGCGAGCCCTGGCTCGGCCCTGGCGTCCGGATGGGCCACGGGAGAGCTCCAGGGCCAACCTGCGCCCCACGCGGCCCCGGTCCCGCACAAGCGGCATGGGATCAGGTCTTTGCGTGAAATATTACAGTGTCTCAAAAAAAAATGTGCATAAATTTACAAAAACGTTTATCGAAGTGTTTTAACTGTGTGTGACTCCGGTACCTTTAACCCGCGGCCCGCGGTGTCGTTGGGTGCACCGCAGCGAGGGGTCTGCCCCGCCCCGCCGTTCGCGCCACACGCTGGAACACTCATTGCTCACTTGGCTATTCTGTGTGTTTGTCTGGAGAGCGCGCCGCCGGGCGAGGGGGTGGGGGGGGGGCGTTCCGCTGCGCACAACACAAGGGGGCCGCCCCCGCCGGTGCTCATCTCCCCCCCTTTTCCAGACGACCCGTTTTCCTGTTTAAAGCGCCACGTCACTCGTGACCCCCACCGTACCGTCGTCCTCCCGCGTGAGCGCCCCGCCCCGCGACGTGTCGGTGCTCCGCCGCCGAACAACACATCAGCCGCTCCGTAAATCCATCCAGATTGCTTCGCTACTGCTTCGTTGCCGAACAACTGGTTCTGATTCCGCGGCGACTCGGCAACACGGCTCGGCTCGACTCGACGACGTTCGTCGGGGAGCCAAAGGGAGAATATGAGTCATCCTCAACTTGCTCAGCCAAGCCCACCCGTCGCCCCGACGAGGCTTTGTCGATTCAAACTGGTGGCGGGAAAGTTCTGCCTTGAAGAGTGTAGGCCGCCCGCCCTCGCCCCCGCCCCCGCGAGGCCAGACCCTACCCGCCGGGCCCTCCCGGCTCCTTGTTGACCAAGACGCCCACCGCCCCGCCCGACCCGACCCGAGGGCCCGGGAGCAGCCCCGAGAGACGAGAGCCCGGCCCCTCGATGCCACGCGCGAGCGGAATGGAGCCGAGCGACAAAACGTTCTGTCTACACTCTACGCGCTACTTGTAGGGCGGCGGCCAGCTGAGCAGTGGCGGGAGCCTGGAGCCCTCAGCTGGAGGGGGGAGGAGCCCACTTCACTGTCACCTGCAGAACTTCCCAGTGGCAGGCAGGTGTCCGACGAGCCCTGAGAGCGCGGCCCGCGAGGAGCCCGCGGAGGTAGACAGCCAGTCGGACAGCCCTGCGTGCGGGTTGCCTACGTCGCTGCCGTCGGGCGGCCCCGCGTCGCCCCGCTCGCGCTGGCTGCTGCCACTCTGCTGGCAGCGCTCTGCTGGCCTGGCTCCGTGTGTCGTGGCACTGTCACCCGGAACAACACCACCTCAAAAACACTCTGCATGAACAAAATGTGTGGTGTTGCAATAAGTGTCAAGAAAGGGGGGCGTACTGTGTCCCCCACGCACTCTCCACGGCAGCTCCTTGTGAGTGAGTGAGTGAGTGTGTGTGTGCGCGCGCGCGCGTCTGTCTCGGTCTCCGCCCCCTCCCCTGCTCCCCCACACTTTCCTCTTCGCTCGCTCGCCCGCCGGCTGCTGCCGCCAATAATAGCGACAGTCCAATTTTTGTGCGGCATGGTGGTTGAGGCGAGGCCAGCAGGCGCGGGCTGGTGCGGCGGGCGCGCTGGCGCGCTTCCCTTCCGCGCCGCCGCTGCAATCTCAGAGGGGCTTCTTCTCCGTTCCTTTCCCCGCACGCCGCGGGCCCGGGGGGGCGCGCGGGGGCGCAGCGCGCGGAGGAGGAAGCACTCCTCCGGCACTCCCTGCCGTCCACCTCCTCCCTCTCCTCCTCCTCTTCCTCTTCCTCCTCCTCCCTCTCCTCCTCCTCCTCTTCCTCCTCCTCGCCGTCCTCGTCCTCGTCCTCCTCCTTCTCCTCCTGCTCCTCCTCCTCCTTGCTCTCGACCTCATGCTCCCGCCTGCGAGCGAACAGCAAACGAAACCGCCGCGAAAGTGGAGGAGCCCGCGGTGCCGCGTGCAGGACAGAGGTATCGCGTAATCAGCGTTGCCAAGCATTTCCCTTTCCTTCTACTTTTCATCTCTATTCTGTTCCCTTCCTCCCCTCGTAAATTCGCACCCTCCCCCCTGTAAAAAAAAGCAAAATGTAATAAAACATACGGCAAAGGTTTGGCATCCGGTGGACGGGCAGTTCCACCCCCCCCCCCCCCCCCCCTCCGTTGCAGCCACCCGCCTGTCGTGGGTTCAAACACTGCCTCCTCGACGGTATGTAGCCTGTTTACCCGGCCGAAACATGCGGTGGGGTCCGAACAGCCAGCTCAATGCTACGCAATGTTGCACAGCTTTAAGTATGTCGAGCCCCCGCACGGCCACACACACACTCACACACCTACACACACACACGCACACATGCGCGTGTGTGAATCAGTGTGCGCCCCGGATTATTCATAACAGAATGCTCTGCAAAACGTTGAAAACGGCGACGCGCAAGCTGCTTTCAATATTGTAGCAGGGCCGGGAGAGTCTTGTTTGGCTTGCGAGCTAACTCCACGGACCCTGGCCGGACCGGCCACGGATACAGGAGCCCAGCTTAGGCGAGCAGGGGTTCTCAGCAGGGGGCGCCGGGAGCCTAACCGCCTGGGAGGGGAGGATGTGTTCTGTCTGCAGAACTCCAGTGCTTCGCTTCGCGACAGCTGAAAGACGCTCGCAAGAGTGTAACAGCGAAGCAAGTGAGGTACAACGACACCTGTTGCCGTCTCCTGTTGCTCTGTAGGGTCGCGACCCCCGTCGTGTACCTCCCGGGCCATCCGGATCCCTCTCGGGCCGTCACCCTCTCCCAGCCCATGCAGTGATGCATCAAAAGTTTGGCAAAACTTCCCACGAATACATCCGTGTGGAGTGGGCTGCATCTGCGCCTGCCTTGCAGGCAACGCCTCAGCACGCGTGTGTAAATATTGCCTAGTATAGGCAGGCGCAGATGCAGCCCTCTCTACACAGGTATCTTCGTGGGAATTGTTGCCTAACTTCCCTGGCCCGCACCCGGCCGACCCCCCAGACGATCTAAATATGAAACCGTTCTAGGATTCCCTGTTACCAGTTGTCATCAGAGTGGACGTTGGAGTGTTTTGGGGGATTGCGTACCCGCTTCGTTCCACACTCGGGCGATGAGGTATTACGGGGGCAGAAGGACTAGGCGAAACTGCGATACGACATAATGTGTTACCGATCCATAACAAGGGTTGCAATTGAATGTCTGCCACCATTATATGTGCCGACACGACTCTGTCTCTGTGCCATTCAGGAATGCTGCCGTGGGAGTCAAGGGCTCGAGCGGTGGCGTGGTGAGCCGCCGCTGGCCAGCCTGCGGCTCCGCCTTCAGCCCCTCCTGCGGCTACTCCTGCAGCCCCTTCTGAGGCTCCGCAGGCAGCCGCACCTGCAGCGCCGCCTGCAGCTCCGGCCCGGGCCCCCCAGCCCCGGTCCTTTGTCTCGGGCCGCATGCGATGGAGCGCTGGAAGAGGCGGCTGTTGCTGCTGCTGCACAGGAGGGAGGCCGCCGCAGTCCGCCGGCCGCGAGCCGTCGGCGCCGCCTCCACCGAGGCCGCCTCGCCGGCTGCAGCCTCGTCGCGGTCCCCACGGCCGGACCCTGGTGAGGACCTCTTCTCGGGCAGCAGCCTGGAGCCCACGGTCTGGACTACGGACCCCCAGGACGCGGCCGACGGCCGCCTGACCGCCACCGCCATGACGGTGGACCCGGGCGGCGACGGCCGCGACGGCCACCGGGGCGCGCGGGACGGCCCGCTGCTCGACACCGAGCAGCGCTGCTTCGACGAGTACCGAGACCGAGTGCCTCCCGCCGGTGAGTACAACCTGCTCCTCTAACTCTGAACTTGTCAATGCATTATTTAAAATTGGTCGGTTGTAATTCCGAGTGGAGTCAGACGGTTGTGATAAAGCAAACCATGATATAGCGACTCACCTCTCAGCAAATTAATTTCCCTGTCCCAAAAGCAGGTCCAAACATAAATCCGTTCGAAATCTCTTCGCCAACCAGCAGTAGCATTATGCCTCGGGAAGCCTCCGCGAAGGGCGAGAATATTACATTTTGAAATGTATACTGTCAAAATAGACGAGAGTGTGTGCGAGAAAATAACTCCCTCTCCCGTGAAAGGGCGGGACTCTGTTTGGTTGTGTTCCTCCCTGGTCTGCGGTTCCGCCAAGGGAAAGGGGTAGAGCGGTGGTGTTCTCTTATTCAAATAAACGCGCCTCGATTCCCATTCCGAGAAATTACATGCGAGTGTAGGTGGGGTGGAGTGGCTTGGCGTGGCGTGGGTGGAACAGGAGAAACCGTTTTCGTGCGGGGATGTGCCTTTCTTGGCGCCCCGTTCCATCGACAACTTCCCTCACAAAAGCGGGCAATGTTTGTTTTTCCTGTTTTGGGCACTTTCTAATTAATACATTCTGAACAGCGGCATATGTTACCACCTCCACAAAGACAATTGCTTTCGCACGGGAAAGGGAAAGGGGGGGGGGGCTACTCCTTCATACAGCAGCCAGCCTGGGCCCATCCACGCACCCACTGCCTCTGATCGCTTACGCTAGTGGCCCTCCGTTACTGTCGGTAGTTTCCAGTTGTATTTTTAGCGTTGTAAAATTACACTACTCGTTACCGTTCCAACAGCACATTTTTATAAAAAAATCTAAATCAAGAATCTATTTTGAAAGCAGATGATACAAATTTAAGAATATGTCTGTTTTCAAGTTTTCTCCCGGATTTAGCTGTCATTTGTTTCTGGTTGCTTGTTATTTGCAATTTCAGCGAACAAGCGGCGTTGAAAAGCGCGGGCACAGGGGCCGGTGTCGGATAGTATTGTTGTGCAGGGAGGGGGACGGGGAGCCTATAGTATTGTTAGGCAGGGTAAGGGTAGGGGCCTGAAGCGACACTCAGTCAGGCACCCACCCACCCGGACACGGTTCCGCCAGCGCTAAATAAATTGTTTTCTGTTCTCCGCTTGATTATCTTGCCGTTTCGAGAGTAAAAGCTAGCTGACACCTTAAATTTACTTATACATTCTTTACGTTTAGTCAAAAGGTTTTTAAGGTATCATCTGCTAAAAATTGTATACAAAATTAACGGTGGTGTTCCACACTTTTCTTTAAAACCCGCCCGTAAACTGCTAGGCTGGCCGCCTGCTGGCCGCTGGTGACGGCTGGCTCCTGTTCGCACGGGACGGGCCGGCGGTTACCGTCTGCCGGCAGTTTGTGGCCGCGGGCGTGAACCGCGTCTGGACGGGCTCGGCCGCATAGAGGCCCAATACGGCACGGCGGGGCAGGAAGCGTCGGACACTCTAAATGTCAAGGGAAAATGTTACTTCTATAAATAGGCAACGATTTCGTGCACATCATTAAAGTATGCAACTATGCTCCTAAAGTCTTACACAAAGTAAGGTCTTACACAATTTCAAGCTCCCATAGCGCCTGGTAGGTAGGCAGCATCTTCCCTGTATTGCAAGCGTGTTGTGCAGGATAGCCTACCCGGAGTCTTGCAGGCGCCGAGCTTCCTTAATTTACAGAATGTGTCGTATTTTCTTCTGGACGAGCACTGTTAAAAGCTTACAGTGATTTTCACCGTAAGCTACAGTGAAAGCCTGCAGCACTGTAGCTTACGGTGATTTTCACTGTAAGCTACGGTGAATTTCACTGTAAGTTTTTAAGAGTGAGCCCAGGGGTTAGGTGATAAACTCTCAAAAGTGTTCACAAGTTGTCAGCGAGTGTTTTACTAGTAAGTCAACGCGTCCACGCTTACTTACAAAAGGAGATATTTTCCTGTAAACCTACCTACTATTTTTCACAGTGTTGCCTTTTCCTTATTTGCCACCGGAAGCGCCGGCCAGGTCGGCCGGCTTGACACTCGACTCGACACTCACCTTCCCTCCTAGTCTCCATGCCGCCGGGGTGATGCGATGAGTGAGCCCTCGTTACCTGCTACTCTGAAAGCGTCACTACGCGCTACGCACTGCGAGGCATGAATGAGCACCGCGGGGTGAAACCGCCCTCAACCTATAGCCTCAACATTAAAGTGAAAATTGCCCCGAAATATGGTTGGGAAAATTTTATTTTCGATATTGTTTTATTTCGTACAAAGAGAATGGTAATTGTTTTGTATTAAGTTTTGTCGTTTATGATTGATAATAATTTCTTGCGGAGCGTAATAAACCAGTGGTAAAAAAGTTGCTCGTCTGTCTGCGAGTCGTACAATAACAGTTCAAAATTGTAAAATTACAAGAATCGTTGTGTCATAAATTTGCAACATATTTTGTAAATATTAATTACAAAATACATTGTAAATTTACGAGGAACGTCTGTTTCATATTTTGCTGCGCCATCTCGAGATCGGATTTAGCTAGGGACCTGATCGTTACTCGTTACATCGTTACTAACAGAGACATAGCCTCGGATACGACTAATGCTTGTTGCGTTGGACTTCTCCTCGGCACAGTGTACTTGTACTGAGATACCTGGATTGTTGACTATTTAAGTAGTAGGACCACAGAGGCTCTCCCACTCAGTTATGAATGACATTGCGCCGGTTCGCGTGCTCTGGCGCGCGAGGCGGGGCCCGAGACCTTCAGCCGCCTTCAGCTGAGGGGCACTGTGAAAAAAAGTCGGTCGGTTTTCGTGAAAATTTTCCATTATGTGTGCCGTAAAATTACAATTTGAAATTGTAAATTTACAAGCACTTCGTATCAATTTGAAACTGATGGACACTAAAAATTCTTTGTCACGATGCCGAAAATACCATGGCTAATTTTTAGTACACGGGTGTCGTCATGGGTTTTTTCGTCACGGTGACGAGAAAACAAAGAATTTTTACAGTGCAAGCGAAAATGGGATGTCGTAAGATTACAACATACTCTGTAAATAAAAATTATAACAAATGTTAAATTACGAGTATATTTTTGCCGTGCGCGTAGGAGAAGCGTACACTGCGGTTCACGAACGAAAGCTGTACTTCCAAAGGCAATTTTGACAATGAGGGGAAATATTTTTTTCTCTTAAATTATTAGCATTTTGAACTCTACCGAACTGTTGAAAGCGAAGGTTCATCGCTAAAATATCGGCAATGAAGACTACATTGCCAAAATGTAGCGATAAACCTTCATTGCCGACAGTGCGGCATAGGGTTTGAATTGCCAATGAGTATAAGGGGAATCCTGACAAACAAATTCCGCTAATTGCCAACAGTGGCATTGGATACTGCCTTCGTAATGACAGTGGCCGACTAATTGCTGCTGGAAAGATATTACTTTTGTCCCCCATTTCCTTACGCCGTTCACTGTTTATTGCCATAAAGGGCGCTTCATTGCCACAAAAGGAAGTACTCATCGCCAATAATGGCAATGGTCAATACCTTTGAAACTAGTGCTCCCCCCCTCCCCTCGCCTTCCTTTCCCCTACCGCCCGCACCACCCGCGTGTTGACTGATAAACTAGGTGTTCAACAGCTAGTCACTTGTAATTGTGGAACTGCAAGCTAAATACTTCCACGTGTGCAACTGCAAGTTGAATACTTGCCACTCGGTACGTGTGCACTTGCAAGTGTGCAACTCTTCGATTGAGCCCTTCCTACACAGTAAGCGTTCGGTCTAAGGAAGTGTTCAACCGAGGAGTTGCACACTACTTACAAAGTGCACACCTACTGAGTTGAACACTTGCAAGTGTACGACTACGGAGCTGCACACTAGCAAGTATTCAACTTTCAGTTGCACACTTACTAGTGTTGAGCAGTTGAACACTTAGTTTTAGTGCTAGCCTGCCGTGCCCAAACCGACACTGTAAGTTCCTTACGAACAACTGCTCTTCGTAAACGTACAAATTATATGGAGCATTTGTATTACAAACAAATTGTTTGTATTACGAAAAGGCTGGTTGGTATTACAAACGAGGCTTTTCGTATTACGAATAGGGGGTGTTCGTAATATGAAAGAAAATCGTTCGTAATATGGCTGCTTTAGATCCTTTGTAAGTTACAAACAAATGCTTCGTAATACGAACACCGCTGTTTGTAAGGAACTAAGAGTGGACAAAAATAATGACACACGCCGGTGCCGGTCGCCCGCTCTGCGCTGTACATAGCAAAGGAGGGGAGGGGAGTGGGAAGGGGGGGGGGGTCGTCTGTAAGTGTGGATTCAGAGTTCATAAAACGCAAGCGTGATTTTTACACCAGGCGTGATTTTCACGCTCCGTAAGCTTCATGCAGCCAATCAGGAACCGACTTTCATCGCGCTGGGCGTGAAAATCATGCCTGGCGTGAGAATTGCGCTTGCGTTTAGGGAACTCTGAATCCACCATTAGAAACAGTATTTAAGGGACTGTCTTTCCAATAAACGACCAAGATCAAGCAGTTTTGGGGCGTGAAGACTATGAGCTAATCGTGATGGTTTTCGACAGTCAGAAGACAATTAGCCGACAAGATACAGTGGTTTAGAGATAGACAATAGAATCATTTTTTTTCATTTCGCACATCGCATCGACAGAAGAGTGGGCTAAAAAACGTTTGCAAACACACACACAACTCACAACGAAGGTTTCAAAGGCTATTTGTTATTCTCTTTATTTGCACAGATGCAAGAATGGGATAGGAAGCGTGTGAAGCGTGTGGATCGAAGTATGGTCGCGGGTAACCGGTGCGTTGCGTGCACAGAGCCCCCCCTCCCCCAGCCAGTGGATGGGGAGTGTCCCACCACCGTCCCCACAAACCTCTCTGCGCGCGGTGAGGCTGAAGTGCGTTCTAGTGGGGGCTGTGGTGTGGCGCGGCGGGGAGGGTGGCGCCCCGAACAGGTGGTGGACAGCGCGGGGG